CTGCTCCCTCATGGGCTAACCCCGTACCGAATCTCGCCAGGTAGATGTCAGCCCGCAACACTCCAGGATACAGTATCCCGAAGTGCAAGGCAGAACGTGAAACAGTAACCCAGATTCCTCTTTGCAACAGCATCTTTCAAGCATTTTGCAGGTCGCTTTAGGGATAGCCTTAGTGCAATTACTGATGCCTTCCGTTCACTTAGAGTAGCAGGGTGTACATGAACTGCCGCCACTGGATCAGATTGTCAACGCCATCCCATCCCGCACCTCAAGGCACGACACAAAGTTCCTAAGATTCTTTTGGGTTCTTCGCCGTTTCGCAATCTCCTTCTGTTTCGATCCTCTTGCCCGCCAATGAAATTTGCGCAAGAAAGACAAACATAAGGTATTTCAGTAAGTATATACATGTAACATGCTACGCATCTAGTCACGGTCATACGAAAACAAAGTCTTTATTGGCGTGTAGACACTCATAAGTAGCTGTTCGTGAATAAGCACCTGACATTCCTGCAACAGGCCCAGCGGCGATGGTGACTGGTTCTGCGTCGGGATAACTTCCGGAAACCGGCATCCAGGTCTTGGGCAATGCCCTGTAGTAAATCTTCCACCCTTCCCTCTCTCTTCACAATCTCCATGTGCCCTTTTTCCTTGCCTGCATTGCTCTCGAGATGATGATCAATCCAGATCCGAACAGAACAACTACTGCACTGAACACCACCGGCCGAACCCAGTAATAATGAGGGGCTTCCAACAGTGCACCAGATATCGGACTTCCTGTAAGCATCGCAAAACTTGATACGAATGTCAAAAGACCCATTCGGGTGCTGTTGAGTCAATAGTTTAAGTAATTAATATATGTCATATGATTGGGAACATGACTCCTTCATGTAACGCAAAAAAAAGAGCTCACCCGACTTCGTTGATATTCTTTGCAAAAGTTGCTGCGACTGGTCCAATGACCGAAACGACTAATCGAACATATATAGGTTAACCTTGGCAAAGGAGATTAAAAACAGCCGAAGCACGTACATCCACCTGAGCTGAATCCATACAGAATGGCGAATATGACGGTCGCTGCTACCGATTTTGACGCTAGAAGCATGAATACTAGAGCACCGGTAAGCACGCCAGTCGCGATCGTGACTGGACACGTGTAAGTCTTCGTCGGGAACGTATGCGGGAACACAGGCTCTCGTGCTCACCATTGAAAGATCCGAATATATCCGCCAGAAAGTTGGGTAAAGTGCGCCCAAGAACACCCATTATGTTGAGAATCGTAATCTATCCATAATATCAACAATCTGTTCAACAAAACATTGATATCACCACCCACTCCATAAGTTACAATATTTGGCGGCAAGTCGTGTTTCGAGCAGAATAGCTGTAGATAAAAGTCTAATAATAATGATCATTGACAACGTTCAACGTCTGGATCATACAAATCAGACAGACAACTTACACGGAACGAATAGGCCCCAGAACACAAAGAATGACCTGGCGAAAGAAATAGAATCAGACCCTTGATCGGGTAAGGGATGGGAAACACGTTGGTTCTATACCCAATAGTGCATATCATGTACGGCACGTCTGTCACTATTCCTTTCAAGTCAATCACTTTTTTCCCCCCAGCGGGTAGACGCGTCTTCATGATCAAGTTGGAGATGATCAAGAGACCAAGAAATAAAAATGATTGGGCCCGTACTGCCCACGCAAAGCCAACTTTCGGGAAAAGGTGATTGAGCATGATCGGGTATATAGCCGCCCCGAGGGATCCACCTTAAAAATAGAAAAAAAAAAAGTTTTCACGATAAGAAATGAATACTTCCCAAGAAACAACACCGTACCGGAAAGGATAATTCCCATAGCCAGCGCACGCTTTTGTCTAAAGTAGTGAGAGGCGATCGATATCGAAGGCATAAACACCATGCCCATTCCTATACCCATTCCTAATCCTTGCGCGAGGAAATTTTGGTAATAATGATGCGGCTGGGCGAGTGAAAGCATGAACGATCTAGACCATGATGTATGAGCGCGACAGACAACGTCAATGTCAACGTGTAGGTCACTCACGAAAAGACGAAAAGAAAACTGCCACCGGATAAAAGATGCCTGAAATAGCCCTTATCGAAAAGCTGCCCGCTGAAGAACCCGCCGCCGAAGAGCAAGAAGCCTTGTAGAGACCCAATCCAAGCAATATCCGACGGAACATGATCGCTCAAAGTATTGAGTGTGTAATAGTTTTCGTACACGCCGAAGGACTGCATTGTTCCCGCAGCACAGAACAGTGTCAGGAAACTGGTTATATGTTGTGAGCTGGAAGACTTTTTGTGAATATATGAAATGGCGAGTTACCCGCCTAATACCTAGATCAGACCGTCTCAGTCCAGCTGTTGCCAGTCAAATGAAAGAAGACAGTCGCCTACCGTCAACCATCCTTGTAAACCACCTTCTGGAAAAGTCAATGGAGGAGGAGCTGCTGCTTTGTTAGCCTCCATGTCCAAATCCTCACTTGACGAAACCCGATGATTTGCTGCGCTGCTCACTGAAGGTACATTTTGCAGAGACTGGCCTTCAGGAGTGATACCTGGCTTCTCAGAAAGCGACATGGCTGGCAATACAATGGGCGTACTGCCTAATCAGCGCAAGCTGGTTATAAAGGAAAAGCGAATCGCCTCGAGAACGGCTGATGAAGCAGGATTAAGAAGGGAGGCACGCAGAAGATGACAACGGCAAACGATCTTTGATCTGTCCATTGTATTGGGTGTCCCGGCATTGGGCAGCGGAGATGAATTTCGATGAATCATAAGATTTTCGGAGTTTTTGCGATATCAAGCGTGGAGTTTCTTGAATCGCATCCTGCACTTCGAATATGCAAAGTTAAACATGAATGTTCGACCATTTGCAATCTTCTACAAAGTGCGAGGCATCGAAAGCCATGACTGTTAACTGACACGCTGGTCGCTAACCGCCGGCACACCAAAAAGAGCAGTAGAATACCGTACAATCATAATCATTGATGGAAGGCCGGACCGCTCCACAATAGAGTAAAATGGTCATTCACACATGTGCAAGTGATATTTTGATCCCAATATCCCGTCCTTATGCAAGGAATGATGTATCACTGAACGGCTCTGTGGTGCCAAAACAACTGAGATAGCCGTCTCGGGTCGTGCTGCTGTTATGTCTTCCAGTGTCTTTCTCACATACGGGAACCCTCAAACACGTTGAGTTTGTGCAACAAGACACATGTACCTGAGTGTCTTTGTCTACCTCAAGATATTCGGCTGCGGTCATAACGGCCAGAGCCCACAAGAGCTGATGCCTCGTACCGATCACCCACCGGGGCGCTCACTGGCGCTAATACTAATAATACCTCAACTCGGGGCGAAAGACACATGTACAATTGGGAGTCAAGTTGCAACTTGAGAAAGCTCAACAGAGGTGCTGAGTCTAAGGGCCCAGTCAAAGCTCACTTCAGTGCTAGGGGCCTCACCGCTATTATGGTTTTCACCCACCCTCGCCAGGTACTGTTAGGTACTTTCAGGCGAAACTACATTTGATCTCGGGGATCCCAGAGTCATCGGGGAAACGCACGATCAGCCCTTATGAAAGAAAAGCCGCAAATGCCGAGATTATAGAGGTTATGACTCGCCCTACACACCCTCAAAAATAGCCTAGTTGCCGAATAACCTTCTATAAACCCCTCAACCACCGCTCTAACAATCTCAGTTATTTAGAAGTTGAAGCTTGTGAGTTAAAATATAAATAGTGGCGGCCGAAAATCCGTCCATCACCCAAGCAGCATATATTTGTTACCATGTCAGAGATTCGTGAAGATGGAATTCCAATGCAGGACTTGTCCTAACTGAATAATCTTCTGAGCGATCAGAACTCGGGAGAAGCATTGCAATGAAGATTATCATCAGATCCGTGATCAGATTCGTCTTGTTTCGGTGTTATGAAAGATTCGAGAGCTGCTCTAAATCTGTCCAGATGGTCCGACCTTTATCGTAGTTAGTAAAATTTGCCATCATAAGCATTGTCATTGTGGACTCGAAAAAAATGTGGCCTGCGAGAAATTTTCTAGGGAGGTCTAACTAGCTACGCTTTTACTCTCCCTCTCTTCCGAATTTACCTCGATATCGAATCCCTCCACCTGAACTGCCGCGTCAATCATCAATTACTTCACCCCGTCTTCAACTGTTGTATACCATCAGCGTTGCCGTTAAATATATCAAACGACGAGAAAAAAACAACATGTTTCAAAATGTCCACCTGCTCCTTCCAACGACCATCAGCCGAAGGCCTCCAATTTCCGTCGTATTCGTGTCAGAACTTAATGTATGTATGTTGTACTGAGAATTACAACACGGCTCTCTAATGGAGCTTAGTTGATCATCATCGCATATGAACTTGGGCTAAGTAATGCAGATTGACGTGCCGAATATAATGTCCGAGCTGTTCTGGTAAGTGAGATTAACTCTCTTTCAGCAGATCATACCATATGTGACTACTCATTTAACGAATTCAGGGAGTGGCGCATTTCTGGAGGTAGAAATGTCAGAGCCTTCTGGTTAGGGGTTGGATGTTTTTCTGTTCAGGTGTGTAAGAATCTACGAATACCAAGAGCAACGGAAACCGTCGTCCCAATCGAGGGTAAATTCTTTGGATATGGATAAGAGTTAACGGCCTGTTTGGTGGCTTTCTACTCGCCGAATACTCTCCGTGTATAACCTGGAGTTGCCCTGAAGCGAAGCTACAGAAGTGAAAACGTTGACATGTGTGAACAAGAGAATGGTTGACTAGCTTGGCCAAGGGCTCATTACTCCGCCATTTCACTCACTGGCAGTGATGATACGTCCTAGTTGTATCTTGACTCCGTATGCCATTCCACCCAAGAACCGCCTATGCGTGATAGATTCCTTCCCAGCTCGTACAGTAATGTATCGTATTATAAAAAAGCAGATTCACCAAAAAAAAATCTAGTACCAATCGATCAATCCGACCAGCCTGGTTCGAACAGGCGACCCCAAGATACAGCTCGAAACAGCAACCATTACAGTCTTGTGCTCTTCCAACTGAGCTATGGTCGGCCCATCAATAAGGACGCAGAATAACAAGCCATTGTGCTGTTCGGTAGAGCCTAAGTGCGATGTAGCTTTTACCTGCCCGCGAAGGGAATCCCGTCGAGACTGCGGCTTCACAATCGTCCTGTCCTTCCAGCGTCCATGATATTCAGCTCGACATTGGTGCTATCGGAAGGATTTCTGATGTTCACACTCCTATGGTAGTACTAGAATGGTAGAGCTCATTATTAATTCCTCTTCGGATGTACCCGAGCACTGAGTAGCAAGACAAGGATCGGAGATGGAAAGAAAAAAACAGAGTCGGCATCAGTCATTATTTCGTTTCGTATACTATACAGTATCCAGTATCAGCGTCACAGTACCAGTTAGTTGGGACGCCTCCCGCTAGTACAGTACGAAAATATATCGTGATCATATGTGTATTTTTAATGTTACAAAGAGGCCAAATCATCCCGTCCATCCATCTCGTTCCATCTCACCTCATCTCGTGTCGGTATCGTATCGTCTCATTCCCTATAACGTACACCCCTCAAAGCAGTCCCCAAACACCCAAAACCACGGAAGAATAACAACATGAAACAAGGAGACAAGAAAAAAAAAAAGACCACGGTGACCAAAATCATCTCATCTCGTATGCTCAAATCGATCCTCAGCACCCTTCTCCCCATCATTTGATTCCTTGGAGGTATCGACCTCCTCCCCATCATCCCTCGCAAGCCCTCGCTCTGCCCGATTTTTCGAAACACCATTCGAATGGTCCTTCGCGACACGCTCCATCACGATCTGATGCGCGTTCCACGGTTTGACATCCGCACCGAAGAGATCGTCCATGTACTCGAGCGGTACGCGTTTCGTTTCGGGGAGAAGGAACTATTAGTATCATCGGTGAGTTTATGGGTCTCTTTCATAAACAGATGGAAAATACTGACGAATATGAACGGAATTGAACAAATCATCAAGCTGGCGAAGAAGAGATACACTCCGTAGCCCATGGTTTGGAACATCTGGGGTGTGAAGCGTGCAATGATGAACGTGTAAAGCCAATTGGACGCTGCGCTGCAGGCAGATGTGAACGTCCTGACGTGTTGAGGGAAGAACTCTGCAGAGACGACCCATGGTGTGCCTATTCATTAAGAAAAAGGAAGAAAGGAAAGAAGTTGTAGATGAGCATTTGAACAAAAGAGGTGAGAGATGGGTTCGGCTTACCGTTCCAAGTAGGCGAATAAAACACCGTCCAGAGATAGAAGAACGCGATTGCGCTCTTTCCCCCGGGACTCAGCGTCTTAGTAGGATGCTGAGCGGGTTTAGCAATGGCGATATAAGCCCCGATGTAGTACATGCACACAGCTCCTCCAAGAGATCCTCCGAAAAATAATTTGCGTCGGCCGAGGGTGTCGATAAGGTACATAAGCCAGACGACGGCTCCCGTCATCTTGATCAAACCGTATACGCCTGTGGTGAGGAGAGAGGAAGAGCCGGTCACGCCGACCGATTTGAAAATGGTGGGTCTGTGTGTGGAGGTGAGTTCAAGAACGAAGAAGGGAGAGTGGAAGAGGGGTAGGGAGGGGTACTCACGAATAATAATTGATCGCATTGATGCCTGTAGCATTCTGCCACGCAAACAAGCTGGATGCAAGTGCCAATCTCCCCATAAGCTTGGGTGAGGAAAACACGGTCCTGAGCGGGCCAAAGAATCCTGCACCAGCCAGGCTACGCTCGTGTTTGATAGCTTCCCTGGTCTCGAAAAGTTCTTCCTGAACGTAATCCGCATCGCGAGGAAGGTGTCGGAGGTAGGTGAGAGAGCGAAGTGCATCTTCTTCGCGATCGCGAGACATGAGCCATCGGGGGGACTCGGTCATTAGGAGTGAGCCAATGGTGAGCAGACCACCGGGCTAGAGGAAATTGCACGGTGAGTACATTTGAATTCAAACTTGGTAAGGAGAATAGGTCGCTTACAATGAGTTGAACAGCAAAAGCAATTAGCCATTGTTTATGACCAGCGGGAATATGCAACGTCACTCCGTAGTTAATCCAGAAACCTTCTCAGGCGTTCATAAAAGCGGCGGAGGGGAAACTTAGGAGAAGACTCACCGACGACACCACCAATCTGCCAACAGAACTCATACAACCCGATCAGACGTCCTCGGATAGCAGGGGGTGCAATTTCCGCTACGTAGATGGGCTTGAAGAGTAAAAATAGAAAGAGTAAATACCGATTGAACAATGTACCAGAAAAGTGACATGACTCACAGCTAAATTTGACGCGATACCAATTGCGAGGCCGCACAACACACGTCCACCGTATATGATTCCCAGGCCGGTCTTGGATCTATAGGAGTATATGTTCTGTATGAACGGGACGACATGTACAGCGAAAGACTCACGATGCAGCAATTTGTAGAGCGGCCCCGACATTGAACACTAGCGAAGAGAACAGAAGGCCATACTTTCTTCCCAAGAAATAACCAATCGGATAACCGAACAATGCACCAAAGAAGCATCTATGGACGCGTCAGATAGGGATTTTGATGTTTTACCAGAGAAAAACTGACCCAGCTTGAAACGTCGACACGATATTTGCGGAAGTGAAGTTAAATTCGGTAGTAGATAATGTATCCAACCCAAACTCTTCCTTGAAACTGGCGAGAGATATCGAGGTTCCGATGAAAGCCGAGTCATAGCTAAACCCGGATGATTAGGAGGCTGGCTAAGCTCAAAAGGCTCGTCTTACCCAATCATAACAGCGGCAAAAGTAGCTGCGAAAGCATTAAAATAGACTCTCCAATTGTACACCTGAGGAGGTGTTGGACGATCTTCCACTCTGGATAAGCTGACCATCTTGAACTGGGCTGGAATGGACTAGGCTGTGGGGGCTAAGGTGTTGGAACTCGAGTCTGGATGGATGGAGTTAAAAAGAGGAGGGAACGGGAGGGTCGGAAAATTGTTCTACGTCTTTTTGTACGGTCTTGTGATGAATTGATGGAAAGGGTTTAATCCGGGGCCCCGCATAACTGCATAGCGCGAGAACGTTATTCCAGCCTCCCCGCACGGTGCCAGACGGTGCCTGTGCCGCCAATTCCGACCATTCGCATACCCCTGAGGCGCATCACTCCGTACAGTACACTTCGCTTTCCTATCCCGGAACCAGCTGCAGGTCTTCCCACCCTTCTCTCTATCATTGCCCAACCAGATCGTGAGAGCCTTGATCTTGCCAGCACCAGAGCTGCCATGGTGCATGGGCGACGGTATGCTGCTCAGCTCGGTTGCTCAGTTTGAGACCGACCCATAGCGACGAAGGGAAGGGACTCACGACGATTGGCTAGGAGTCTAGTTTGTCCGACCAATTGAAAATTTTTCGGTTCGAGCTCGCCCCCGCTTTGCAGCACTACCCCCGTTGGCCCCCGCAAAGCTCGATCGGTGGAGTCGCCCTGAACCAGACCTTTCCGCAGGGTGTCGTGAGGAGCTGCCTGATTAAAGCATTAATGGAAAAACGGAGGATACCTGGATAGCGACGCATTGTTTCGCCATACTCGGAAGGTAGTTTTCAATTGCAGATGCATGCCATCGGGCATGTTAAATCTAACTTTTAGCTTGTAATTTCGACCCGTAAACTAACTGAGAATCCGAACGACAAGCCACTCTTGACGCGATGAAACAGAGGAAGAGAACGAGCGCCAATTGGACTCAATTCGGGGCCGCATCAATGCTGTCGATGTCAGACATGTTAATAGCATGTTTCACTGCGGTGCACTGGCTCAGCAGATACCGAGTGAAAGCAGTACAAAAAAGTGACAGGAAATATTTGGTCAAATTCGGGAGGTAAGTCTTCAACACTCGCTGTAAAAAAGCTTCATGAATCGCGCCCGGTCAGAGGCTCTGGCAATACGTCTGTAGACTTTACAATGTCGGGGTGAATAGCACGGGATTGGTAGAGACGCTTCACTTTAGCCATTGGATATAGCTCCAACGCGAAGGCAACGCTGATCACGATCAGCTCATTGAGCCGCGCCAACACCTCTAGGTAACCTGCTCCTCCGAATCAACCGTCTATTGAATGTTCAAAGCTTGGCTTCACCCTCCTCCATGATGCAACATCGAGCAAAACGTAAACTACGCCTACGCGAACGCTTGACTCCGATCTTCGGAAGATGTGTGCACCGCTTAACACGAGGTCAAGGCATGTAACAAAGACGCGAATACGTTCTTAACCCATCCGCTGCGCCCTCAGTCTTTAAGCCGGTAATAAACCTTACCATACCTCACTTTACTAGACCATCTAGGACTCATGGTGACAACATCAAGTTCTCCTTCATTAAGTTCTTCTTTACCGTCGGTAGATTTGGAGAAGAACGCTGCTGGCGTGATCACAGCCAGGGATGACGACTTTCCATCCACCTCCCCGATATCAATGAGGGGCATCTGGAAGGAGGCGGTTGGTTTATTAGAGTTGCCAGAGGAGGTTGACCTTGACGCGTCATTCTCCTCCAGTGGAGGTGGGAGCACTAGCGTGCTACCAGAAGGAGAGGAACAATGTAGAAACGGTCCTGTCGTGATGACAGATTCTCCAGGTGAGGGTCAATTCTTTTTTCAAATGAACCGTCTCAAACTGAAGTCGCACGCATAATTTAGAGCAAATCACCTACGAGTTACCTAATGACGAAACATCACAACCATCCCTAATTTTTGAACCGCTCAAAGAGGCTCCCGAAGGTTATCCCAAATTAAACTTCCGGCCATTTCTTCTCAGAACTTGGTTCCTGACCGGCGTCTGCATATTATGTCTGATTGCAATGGGCTGCATTCTCTTGGTGGATCGCGAAGCAGAAAGTACCAATCGAATCTTTTGCACTTCCGACATAAATCAACGCCTCGCATGGGAGTACGGACCCATGTTTGTATCGACATCTACCAAACTGCTTTGGAACTCTGTTTTCGGCGCGCTGAGTCGTACGATTCCCTTCTTCTCCCTCGCGCGAACAGCTCCAGGACGAAAGGGCTTGGGGGGC